GGCCTGCTGTGTTCAACCAGCTCTACACCTTGTTATCTCAGATTCTCCAGCATCTGCAGTTCCTGCTATCTCTGAAACAAATAATTCACTCATTCATCTGAAGTAGTGATTGATGCTGTACGCAGAGGGAAGAAGTCAAATGACAGGTATTTGTTTGTGTGGGAAGAAGGCATTGTATAGGGAATGGTTGTTGGGAATGATTGAAAAGTAGACCAGACTATTGAGAAGGAAATTATCTCTTGGAAATACTGAAAAGTGGAGAGGTGAAGAAAAATGGCTCCCTTGGTTCTTTTTCCTGATTACGTAGGAAAGTTCTTTACATGATCAGACCCTTTAGGTTCTTTGGTGCTGTCTTGCAAGCATTAATGGCTCCAACATGGGCATGGAAAAGATTTTTTAGGCTAAAGAGGGTCTGTACAGCTAAGAGTAAATATTGATGGTAAACATTGATGTGCACATATAGAAGCAGTTGGAAATTGGTTTTGTTTGCTGTAAAAACACCTGCAGTCAGCTTTCTCCATAAAAATATAATTGCCAGGGGCAGTCAATGCCATCACTGCACTCAATTCTTCTATCTGTGCCCTTTGAACCAAATGAAAGGATCTTATGAATTATCAACCAGGTTATTGCTCAAGGTGTACCACACGCGTGACTGATGCATAATTCAATGTGATTAGAATTTTTCTCCACTTTCAGTGGCATGAACTGCAGAGTAACTGATGGTTTCTGCAGCCTTTCTACAGTCCACTTTGTGTGGCAATAACATCTGTTCTACTCCTATATAACGGAAAATAAAAACCTGAATAAAATAATTGTGTAGTTAATTAAAACGATTAAGGACAAAAGGTTAACTGATATGTTACGCATGCAGCATGTGAGAGCTCATGGATGCCAATGTGATCCAGGGCAAACATATATGTGGTAAATGTTTACACGTTGAGGAGCTTCAGCTGCGAATTTATAAGCCGGAAGCTGAACTACACAATGCAACACATCACAGTGAGGAAATGTTGCCTTGACATTTTGTACCAGAAGGCAATCATTCCACTTGGGATAGTGACATCTGATTTGGTCTTTGGTCAGGTCAGGTAAGTCAAGAAGACAGAGCGGGTGTGCAGGAGCTACAACATTTGTCAGTAACCAACAAGTTTGAGGTTCTTTCTGGTTTTCTAGCAGAGGGTCATGGTTGCAGGGCAGATGAGATAATCTACTATGGCACTGTGGGAAGAGGAAAAAGGAATGTAGTGGTAGGAAGGGCCAATATAGTGAAGGGGATCGACACTGTTCTCTCCAGCAAAGAGCAGAGTCCAGGACACCTGCTCAGGGCTGGAGAGGAGTTTACAGTGGAATAGGGAGGACTAATCATCCTGGCCTATTTAGGCATCAATGATATGTGCAGGACAACAAAAAAGAGGTTCTGCAATAGTTAGGATGAGGAACTCAGTACCGAATTAAGAAATAGAACCTCTAAAGGTAATAACCTCTGGATTATTACCTGAGCCACATGAAAATTCACATAGGGCAATAAGGATTGGAGAAATGGTTCAAAGACTGGTACTGGAGAAGTGAGTTCTAATTTATGGGACACTGGCACAAGTACTGAGCGAAGTGGGAGTTGTACCATTATGACAAGTTACATGCAAGCTCAATTCTTGAGGAAAGGGATCAAAGTTTGGAAGATTAGTAATTCAAAGAGTGGAGACAAGGCAAGAGAGAAAGGTATTAATACGGGAAATGTAAACAGACTCTGACAGGAAGGGATGAGTACAAATCGAAGCCTGAATCGACAGGCAAGGCTAAAAGTTTAAAAAATTAAAAAAGGTCAAAGCTGAAAGCTCTATACCCATATGTACATAGATTCAAAACAAAAGACATGAATTTTTAATGCAAATAGAAATAAATAAGTATGATCTGATAGCCAATACAGTGACATGACTGCAGGATGATACAGATTGGGATCTAAATATTGAAGGATACACAACATTTAGGAAGAAGAGAAAGCCTGAAGAAGGTAGAGGAGTGGCTCTATCAATTAATTACGGCATAAGCACAATAGTGAAGAAAGACCGATGTTCAGGAAACCAAGATGTAAGTACATTTTGGGGAGAGATGAGAAGTTATAAATGCAAGTCGTCAGATGTGGAAATGCTATAAAAGGCCTCGTAACAGTAACCATATAGTAAGATGAAGTATAAAAGAAGAAATAACGGCAGCTTGTCAAAGGGGTATGGAGATAATCATGGGAGTTTTCAATCTATATATAGAATGGAAAATCTAGATGAGCAAAGCTAGTATAGCTGAGGACTTGATAGAACATTTTCAGGATGATTTCTTAGAGCAGCACATTCTCGAGCAGACTATACTAGATCAAATATTGTGTAATGTGATATTTTATTACTGACTTCAAAGTGAAGGTGCCCCTAGGGGGCAGCAATTATAACACCATTGAATTTTACATTCAGTTTGAAGGAGTGAAGAATGGATCCAAGACTAATATTTTAAAATTAAAGAAGGCAATATGAAGGCATGAAAGCAGAGCTAGCTAAAGTGAGCTGGCAAATTAGGTTAAAGGAATAGGACCACAGTGCCAGACAATTAAGGGGCTATTTCAAAATATGCAGAATTCCAACAAGAAAGAAAAAATTAAGGGGAGGGGGACCCACTATTTGTGTCTGACAGAAAAAGCTAATGATAGTATTAAACTTAAGCAAATAACCACAAGCAAATGTTTGTAGTACAAAACTTGAATATTGCAGAAAAAGACATCAATTCCCCTCACAATAAAATATAACATTCTTTAATTTTCCTGACAAAAATAGGGAGATTATGCTTCAGTTATACAGGACATTGGTGAGACCACATCTAGAGTACAGTATATAGTAGTTGTCTTATTTAAGGAAGAAGATAAATGTACTAGAAGCAGTTCAGAGGTTTACTAGGCTGATATCTGGAATGGATTGGTTGCCTTATGAGAAAAGGTCAGACCAGTTAGGGTTGTATCAGTGGAACAATAAGAGGTTTAAATATTATATTACTGAAGCATTTAATTGCTGAGGGGTCTTGACAAGGCAGATGTAGAAAGTATGCATCCTTTTGTGGAAGAATCTAGAACAGTTTGAAAATAAGGGTTCACCAAATTAGGCAAAGATAGAGTCATAGAGTAACACAGCATGGAAATAGGACCTTCAGCCCAAACTGGTCCACGCTTACCATGGTGCCCACTCAGCTAGTTCCAATTGCCCGCATTTGGTCCATATCCCTGTCAACCCTTCCCATCCATGTACCTATCCAAATGTTTTCTAATGTTACTATTATACCTGCCTCAACGACTTTCTCTGGCAGCCCATTCCATATACGCACCACTCTCTGCGTAAAGAAGCTGTCCCTCAGCTCATTCTTAAATCTTTCCCCTCTCACCTTAATCCTGTGCCCTCTAGTTTTTAATTCCCCATCCCTGGGAAAAGGACTCTATGCATTCATCCTTTCTATGCCCCTCATGATTTTATATACCTCAATAAGATCACCCCTCATTCTCCTACGTTCCAAGGAATAAAGTCCTATCCTGGCCAACCTGTCCCTATAACTTAGGCCTACTAGTCCTGGCAACATCTTCATAAATCTTCTTTGCACACTTTCCAGTTTAATTATATCTTTCCTTTAACAGGGTGACCAAAACTCTACACAGTACTCCAAGTGTGGCCTCATCAATGACATATACAACTGTAACATAACATCCCAACTCCTATACTCAATGTG